TAATTGGAGTGATTTATACGGTCTCACTGTGAACCCCTCTAAAACTCGAGTAATTCTCATTACTTGAGTTTTAAAGGGTTCACTCATCACATTTCTAGGGTCAGTTCTGAGTTACTATCTCCAGTAATATTCAACGGCATTGTAATTCCCTACTCAAAAACTGTTAGAAACCTTGGCGTCATCTTCGATCAAACCTTTCTTGAAAGCCGCAGGTGCAGGCAGTTGGAAAGAAGGTATTTGCCACGTGCTATTAACTTAATAGACTACGCAACTTTTTGCCTACTAGAACTCAGTTCTATTTAGCGCATTCGTTATTGTTATCGATCATTAACTACCCTGATGTTTGTTACACGGATCTAGAAGGAATTTCTCAATAAATTGGAGTGTCGGCAGAATATTTGTATCCGATTCATTTTCAACCTTCGTAAATTTGACCATGTGTCGAATTTCCGTTCCAGAATATCTTGGCTCCTTATTCGCCGGCGCAGGATCTTACACTCTAAAGTTAATATATTCTATTCTTTTTTTACCCTCCTCTTCACATTATCTCAAACAATCTTTATCATCTCTTCCTCGTCACCGAGTTCCTTGCGATCCTTATCCAACCTTACTTTGGACATCCCTCGTCATACGTCCGATTTCTTCTCCTATTCCTTTTCTGTGCATGCTGTGCGTTTATGGAATTCTCTACCGGAAGATGTCAGGAGCACTCGCTCACTAAATTCCTTCCGCGATCGAGTTGAAAGCTATTTCCTTTCTCTATGCTAATGCTATTACTTATAATTTTTTATTTAATATGTAAATATATATCTTACCATATCCTTCTAATTATTGCACCCAATACCCTATATTTTCCCTATATTCTCCTCCATAGGTTGCCTGGAAGAAATTGCTGTTTAGCAATAACGCCGCCTTTTGTGTTTTCTGTATTGTTCTACCATATAATTTCGTGTCTGTATGTGTGCAATAAAGTAATATTATTATTATTATCTGTTTACGGTGATGATGTGCAGCCGTGTGTACAATAATCATTTTTTTTTCATATTTTTATAAGTTCAAAATTAATCTTCACCGCAAACTTTAATACAAAACTCTCCACATAAAAAAAGTGGAAATACGAGCGGTATTTCGTTTTCCACAAAGATATAAGAAGACCAGAAACTTGAATAAAGAAAGAAGGCAATTACTTGTAGACACGATCAGTTGATTTAAACATAGTTCTAAATGTCGTTAGAGGAAGCCGTATCCACTTAAATGTTCGTGTTTTGTCCGAAACTTTGCAGTTTAAATCTTACTACGTGTAAAGTACCTAATGTTAAATACATAACAACTTAGAGGCCGCCATCACATAAACCGAAACTGTAACCGTCCACAAACAAGTTTTACCAAGTTGTGCGGTTAAATTGTAGACAGTATTCTCTTCAGAGTTCCGTAGTTCTATTGTTAAGCATGAATAGAGAGTAGTCGAAGAAAAGCTACCATTCCATTTAATTTAAAACCCACAAACGGAATTCGAAATCAGTATGATAGAATGAATTGAAAAAGTAGTACATTCTACATTGAGTAGCAAAAAAAACCTTAAAAATCGTGCCTTGCAGGGCATTTCCTTTAATACAGAGAACATTACCAGTTCTCTGTGTAGCCTGTATTAAAGGAAATCCCCTGCGATTCTGTACAAAACCAAACCAGAATTCGACTTCACTCAGGTGTCCGAATTTATTTCAAAAAGCAGCTTCCGCTTAACCTTAAATTGATAATTCGAATCGTTTCGTGTCATAAATGAAGTGAGTTTCGAAATGTCATACGAATATAATATCTGAAACATATACAATCAATCAATTTTGTTTTTCATTTTATACAAAAAATGGAATCATTAGAATTTCTTTACTAAATGACGTGAATTCGAAACAAGAGTGAATTTGAATTCGGATTCGATTTTTTACAGAATCGCATGCTGCTATTGAAGTCGGGCAGAGGTTTTCTATAGGTTATTAAATAAATGATAAGCGCCCGACTTCAATAGTAGTTTCTCGAAAAAGTCCCTTTGAGATAAGTATTAGGAGTTAAAGTATGAAATTGCCGTTTTATTGTAATAGGTTCCTTGAATTGACATAGAATCTTCATGGTTTGAGGTTTTCGAAAAAAACTTTTTTCACATGGTTTCTATGATGTTCTTCTTTTAAATAAATGTGAAACATTTGAATATCGACTTTCAATTGTTTTTGTCATTCATTTTTGATTTTGATTTTTGAATACGAGTTATGACGCGGAAGTAACTCTGCAGAAACAGCCCGCAATATCAACGTTGCGTTTGGAGAGGGCTCTGCTAATGAACGCACCATGCAATTTTGGTTTAAACGCTATGGCTATGGAAACTTTACTTGAAGGTCGAACCAAGAGGAAGACCGCCCACACAGTCAAACAACGATGAATTAAGAGAAATGGTGGTTGCCGATCCTAGTCAAACTACCCAGGAATTAGAGGAATGGTTTAACGTTACCTTACCCACAATATTGACTCATTTGCGACAAATCAATAAAATAAAAAAATGCAAAAAATGAGTGCCTTAAGATTTGACTGATCTGCAGAAAGAAACTTGTGTTGCCTTGTTGAATCGGTACAGAAATAAAGGAATATTGGATCAAATTGTGACATGTGATGAAAAGTGGATTCTTTATGATAACCGTAAAAGAAAAATGCAATGGCTGACCCCAGGTCAAACACCACAACAGTATCCTAAAGCAAAACTTACCAATAAAAAGTTTATGGTAACTGTTTGGTGGTCTCAGCTTAGTATTATTCACTATAGTTTGCTCCGATCTGGTCAAGCAATAACGGCAGATGTCTATTGTTCCGAACTTCGAAGAATGTTGGCAATACTAGCAGTAAAACTGCCCCGACTCATGAATCGATCTTCACCATTATTGCTCCATGACAACGCGAGACCTCATACAGCACGAGAAACCGTTTGACCCTTCAGGAACTGCAGTTACAAACCATTCGTCATCCTCCGTATTCGCCAGACCTTGCTCCAATGAACTACCATCTTTTTCGTGATTTGGACAATTATCTACGTGACAAGAAATTTTCTTCCCAGGAAGTTTGGACAGTGTAGATCCTCAGAGTTCTATCGCAAAGGCATAAATGACCTTCCTATTAGATGACAGCGATGTATTGATAATAATGGTAACCTATTTTGATTAAATAAGTAATTATAAAAATTAAAATAGACAATTGTGATTTTCATTACAAATCGGCAATTTCATGCTTTAACCCCTATTATTTTTTATCACTTTTTAAAGTTTGAAGCCGGTTCTATTTTTGTTTTTTTTTATACGAGTAATATTAGCTATAATTTACCCAGGCGATGTCGCGGGGAAATATAGAATTATTTGACAGTAATTGGTTCACAATTTAAGAGAAAATCGATAAAGATACCTAAAAATATACATAAATATATACCTACCTGTTGAACAAAGATAATCCTCCTCACGCTGATATATGAACTTAGTCTGGCCACAAGTAGGTATTTGTGGCTACTGCTAGAATTAAAAATTAACAAATTGTTACTTCTGAATTTCGAATCTGTATATTTTTATATGACTCTTTATTGTTTTTTCTTAATAGGTATGAAATTACCGTTGTGCCGTACTGGCCATTTCAAAACAAATGTTTTTTGCTGATAATTCTAATTTCAAATTGATTTTAGTTCAAATAATTATGGAGTATGAGTACCCCATGGCAGCAAAGCGGCACAAGCGGCACGCAACATCAACGACGTTTACGGAGCGAACAGTATAAACGAACGCACCATCCGTTATTGGGTTGCCCATTTCCGTTCTGGAAATTTTGACCTGAAAAATGAACCCCCTGGTCGTCCAGGAGGAAGCTAATGAAACTCAATCTACGACTGAATTAGCAGCAACTTTTGACGTTAGCATCAAAACGATATTGGTCCATATGTGTGAAATTGCCAAGGTAAAAAAAGTTTGACCAACGAACTCAATAATCGCCATCGCGAAGTAGGCGTCGAGACATACCTTGCACTGTTCAACAGGCATACAAATGAAGAAATTCTGAACGGCATTGTTACTAGTGACGAGATCCCAACAACGCCGCCGAGTCTGTTGTTGATGTGATGCTTCAGGGTATAGAATCTTTCATTCCAACCTCGGTTGTCCCTATTGGTGGCAGATTCCAACCTTGGCTGGAAGGTGTTAATGCATCTGCCGTGTAATCCTGAACTTGCACCTTCAGATTTCCACCTGTTTAGGTCTCTACAGAATTCTTTAGGCAGTGTCCGGTTAACATCACGCGTATAATGTTGTAACCACTTGTCGCGGTTTCTTGATTAGACACCCCAAAATTTCTATAGCAATGGGTTCATGTCCCTACCTACACGATGGCAAAAAGTTATCGAACAAAATAGTACCTAAATTTTGTTGTTTAATATCATTATGACTACGTTACATAATTTAGAAGAGTAAAGTTGTGCCATATTTGATTGTTACTTAAAAGGTTTTATTAGTTTAAGTAGCTTTTATATTTGTTATGTCAATAAAGACATTCTTTTAATTTTCCATCATTTGACATAACGACGACGTTTACGCCGCCATTTACGTCGCCCCCACTGAATTTTTAGCTACACGCCGCCGCCGAAGGTTATATGCTTCCTCCTTTTGGATTTTGAAGTTGGTTAAATATTTTATGATATTAAAATGGAGTGGGGTAATAAAGAGAACCGCATCTCCAACATCCATGATTGCATTACGTAAAATAAGTATGGAGCCAAAAACAATTTTCAAAACACTCCTTGGTTGGATGGGATGTACACTTTTTATAATCTTTTTGTTAGTATCTATTTCACCACTTTGAAGATGGCTAAACAAAATTCTCCATGACAGTTTTATTTTTTGTTTGATTTTGGAAAAAGCGTTTTTAAATTATATTTTTTTTATTATATTTCAAATTTTCTAATTAACTAACTAAAATAGGCTACATAAATATAAATGAAAAGGTCACAGTCATTAATCTAAGTACAAAAACCATCAGATAAAATCAATAAAAATATTTAATCTATATTCTTTTCTTTGGTTATTAACTTAATATCTATAGAAACCTGTTTTTTAAATAGATCCATTAGATCATTTCTAACATTACTTTTTATTTGATTTATACGACCACCGCCGGCACCACCTATTAATCTGACAAGTCTGTCAGTAGGACACTCTGCTAATACGCAACATATAATTTTATCTTCTTCTTCACGCTCTTCATAATATTCCAACTCAATTTTTATGTGATAAGGAATCTCTTGTGAAAGGAAATCTAAAAATTTTGCTCTTACTGCCTCCTTTATCAATGATTCAGGAGATTGGTCAGTCCATTCCTCTGGATTATATTGGAACGCAGCAGGTTTAGCATTGTTTATCAAGTAATCCTAAAACAATTTTTTAAAATAAAATTTCTATGAAGTAATTAATACAAAGCATTCCAGTTTTTTATGTAATGAGACACACACTGTAATAATAATTAATAAAGCAAAGTAAAAAAGAAATATAAAAATATTGATGTAAGCTATAAATTTTAAAAGCAAAACTTCAGTGCTACTTTTTATGCAAAAGTTACAAAATAAAATAGTATATAATATGATTAATTAAGAAACCAATATTACTGCTTGTATTTACTAGAATTTTCACAAGTAATTATTAAAATAAGGTTTGAAATTCATATTAGTTATAGTTTTTTTTAATTTTGCCCCATCCCCAAGCAAAAGTAGGCCCATGCAGGCAAGGTAAAATTCAATAGTTCACCAACATTACACTGGAGTCATTCCCACCAATCATAGTAAGCATAAATTTTATAGTAATTGAAAATTTTTATTTTAAATTATATTTTTTTTAAATTAGATTATAAACTACTACCCAATCTCATACCCCTATCTCATAATTACAAAATTATAGCAACTACTTAGATTATAGTTGATACAACTACTTTTCACATTTTACCACAAACAACCTTATATTTAAAACAAACTTACCCTAACATCACTCACACCATCGCCTTTTAAGGATGATACCAAAAATACATCGGAAAAATTACTATAACCTTTTTCAAACTGTTCTTTTTTCTTTTTCTTCTCAGATCCTGGTATGGGGTTGCCAGCAATCAGACCATTTGTCAAATTTCTTATTATTGCCAACAGTTGTTTTTTACTTTTTAATTTGTCTACCTAAAAGCATAAGAATCAACTTTTATGCAGGTATGTCTATTTTCCACAGTTGATTTGAGCTCTATCCTCAATAAATTAAGGCTCAAAATAAATAAAGTGATGAAATTTTATAGACAATAATAATCTAAGAAAAGGAGATTAACCATCCAGAACTAACATTTTGTTTTTTTTTTTTAATATAAATATTATTTTAACTACTAATAATTAAAATAAATAAGGTAGTGAGATTGAATCAGACCAATTTGATGATTATAGTTCACTAGGTTCTGTAAGTAAGCGGTAAGTGGGTATATTTTAGCTACTTGTTTTTTTTACAAAATTTTGTTTATTTGAATTTGAAACAATGTAAAAAATCAGTTTACTCCTCTATTACAATGTGATGATTTGACATACCTTCATGTCTGATTTAGCTTTGAGAAACATAAATAATTAATTTAATGATTAATTATATACAAAAGGAGTACCTTATTTATAATGAGAAAACTGGGTATATCTTCAACTAATTTCAACATATCCATAACATCATAGTTCAATACGTCTTTAGTATATGGATTTGAGACATCATGAACAACTCCTATGACATTAGCACACCTCAAACTTTTTTGACATGCAGCAATCATAGATTCAGGTAGCTTATATCTGAAACATACGAGACACATGCACTATGTAAATATGTAAATACCAAGAACTATGTAAATACCAAAAAATATGAAAAATATGAGACATACTTTTTCTGCTCCTTCGTTGATACTACCCCTGGTGTGTCCAAAAATATAATCTGTGTGTCATCTTTAAAATACATTGCTCGTATCATTTTTGTTGTTGTATGAACTTTACTGGAAGCTGCACATATCTGAAAAATGCATTAATAAAATTATTAATATATAATGCCATATACATTTCAGTAATTCCTTAAATAAGTATGTAGCCGAGTAGATGAATTTCGGAGGTTGGAATAAGAGACCTCAGAAATAATGAGAAAATAGATGTGCTATAACAATCACCAGGATCACTGACTACAAATGCTTTAGTGTTGCTTTGCTATTGCAACACGATGAGTGCAAATATCTGTTATTCAGCACTCCGTTTTGTCAATATTATTGCATTTTAGGTAGAAATAAATTTTAAACTAACCTTCCTCTCGACAATGTTATTGATTAAAGTACTCTTTCCAGAGTTAGGTGCGCCGAGTATAGCTACATTCACCACTTTTCCAATGTGCTTTTCATTTGCTCGTTTAGGTTGTGACGAATAAAATAAAGTTTGTAGATAATGCGTTTTACGCAAAAAACCAATACCAATATTAACCATTTTAAAACTCATATAAGACAATTTGTTCAATAGTCTCTATTGTAGGAATTAATACATTTATAAGAGTATTCCGTAATAATTTTAAGTCTTCGCATGACACAATTCACATTACATTTTCATCTGTTTTTTATCTCAGAAACTTATTTTCTGAGTAAATCTTTACTGAATTTCCTCAGTGAGTCTTCTTCTTCTTTTTAATTAATGGCTTATCTGCGCATTTCGCACAATTCTGCCAATGTCAAGTAAATGATTAAATTTTTACATGTAAAATAAAAATGAAATGAATGAAAGATGGCGATGATTTTCGATTTCTGACACAACTTCGGTAAAAATCGGGCGACATCGAGTTGCGTGTCGGTAACAAATGGGCGCACTATTCGGCCAGCCAGCAGCTATATTTATTAATTTCTACTTTTACTTGACTTATGTTTTAGAATCATATATTATGATTAAGGTTTGAATGCAAAACCGATTTTGTAATAGAAAATTACGAAAATAGTATATATAGTTGTTTTGTAGTTCGAATTGTCAGTCCTAAGCCTGAGTTAACAAAGTTGAAGGAGAATCAATTAGATTTTAAACTCAAAAAAAATAAAATGTGTTACTTTGTTATATCTTGGTACGAGAATTATTTCATTATATTTTAAAACAAATATTCCATATGAAATTGATATATTATCAATGAAAAGCATTAAGTATTTTTTTTACATATTGGTAACACGATTAAGTACCTACTTGCTCTTAAATCTATCTGAGAATCATGAGAATCGATGTGCCAACTGCCAAGTGATCCAAATGAAGCATCAATGAGGAAGTATTTAAAAAATAAAAATTAGTTCTTGAAATCATACTAGATGTCACTCGCGATGTTTGGATTTTGTTTATGATATTCATTCGAATTTTGTTTCTGACGTAATAAAAGTAAATTGAGTATCGAAAATTTATAAATATGACATCGCTTTGTGTTTCTTATAATATCTAACTTTCAAATTAAATTTTAATTTATTTTAATCGTAAGTTTAAGTTGTTTATTACGTGTAAAGGAACGATGTTTGGTTTATACTAGTTTCTACGTCAACATTTGGTTGCTCGTAACTTTCATCCGAATTCAGGTTTGGAATGAAAAACAAAAAGAGGAGCGCAGAATTCGGCTTGTATTTGTATGTGTCATAATGCATCCACGAAACGAATGATATTAATATAAATATCAAAATCAATTCAGTCTAGGCTGTTACATAGTACTTGTGAAAGTCGAAAACTTTGCCAATGGTTCGCAAAACTATGTAAGGCGGGAGATTTTGTACTGACAAGAATCGTCAAGAAACTCGGCAAGTGCTGCTTTTTTTATTTCAACTATACTATATTTCACTCACTGAATAGTACAGTGGCACAATTCAAAAACCATTATTTCGAGAAAACGCCACAAAATTGTGGTATAGATAATTTTAAGAAAGAATAAAAAACTTAACAGTAATAAATAATATAATACAAACGATGCTAAAAATTTTGATTTTTAAAATTATAAATATATTAAATTTTCATAACTTTGGAGAGCGTTTCTCGAAATTATGGTTTTTGAGTTGTGCCACTGTAGTATTCAGTGAGCGATTTGAGGGAACGTAATGACCTAACGCACATGACACCACCGCAGAGATTTTAAGAGAGCATGACTACTCTAGGTACTTAGTAAATAATATATTTTAATAAAACTGATTTCTAGAATAGGTTGAGTAGAAGTCAATCTATTATTAACAACATTAATGTAAGAACCAAAAAGCACATACCCACCGTACGAATTAACTTAACTCATGGCTTGATGTCCGCAGTCGACATGCAAGATCGATAGTATAGTAACTGTACGTGTTTTTGTGATTTGAAATTTAAAGTTATAACCTTGCTGTTCGTTTAGAACAGACGTTTCTTGTTGATTGCTGAATGTTAATTAAGATGATTTAATTATGAATATAAGATTTAATAACAAATCATAGTTTTTTAAAGTCTTAATTTCGAAAGCACAAGTTATTTGCACGTTTCACTTAGCACAAACGTCATTTTACCCAGAAGTCATGTTATTTTGTAGGAATACCTAGTATATTTGTACCTGTATTCAGAGTGAAACATGAATCTAAGTATCCTTACTGGTTTTCTAAGGCTTTAATGAAAATAATAAAAGAAAAACTTATATTGTAAGCAATTCTGGTCTTTTGTTAAATCAAAGAAGAGTTCAAGTGAATTACCTAAGTCTGTATTTCTAAACGACGTCACTTGTACAGGTGGCAGTGATATTTGCAATTCATTGAATTCTTACTTTCAGTCAGTATTTGAGCCTAGTGTGGAATGTAACATGACCTGTGATTTGGATGGGTGACCAAATTTTTTTAAATGTTACTAGGACAAGATAAGAGAAGACAGGAAAAGCCTGCCACACTCAACTCCACCTCGCCTCATCTCGCAACGCCTATCCTGCTTTACCACACTCAACCAATGAGGAAATATTTAAAAAAACGAAAGCACTAAAAAAGCACCTCCACGGTAGGAAACGAATGGACCAAAGACAGTAATTTCCGTTCCTTTTAACTAACATATTAAAAAACTGAAATTTGAAAAGTTCGAAACTTAGATATCAATGCAAATACGAAAAAGTACAAATAGAATATGAGTTGTTTATTGATTTTGAAAACTAATTTACTATTAAACTTGAAAGAAAACCGGAAAGGTTGTCATGGAGAAATCAAGAACGTACCGTAGCGACATCCAAATTGATTTCGGGAAGTAATGTGTTTTTTTTAAATACTTCCTCATTAGAAAAAGTTAATAACACAGTGAAGTTTCAGTAATAGCATCCCATTACTAGTATTACTGGTAGTGGTACTTGGTTTTAGTTATTTGTGGCTTCAGTAATTTTGGGAGCGATAAATAAAAGATGTGTGTCGTTGAAAAACCGTTATAAAAGTGAAAGTTTAATCGTTTCAAAAAAGCTACAACATTATTTTTTGGAAGTTGCGTTTCGTTCGTTCATAAACAAACTTAAAATTGTAAAACAGATTCCATGAAATTACAAATGTTTTAATTTTTAATTAACTCTATTTTTTTTAATCCGGCCTCACGGTTGTAGTAGTAGTAGAATGTACGCAATATCTAGTTTCTGCTCCGGCCATGGAAAAAATCGTAGTTCTTGGCCTGTCAATGAACCGCGTTTGAGATACGTATTATTTTCAACTATTTTAACGCTATTTTGCTCTTTACAATTCTAATTTTTATTTTTTAAAATTAAAATCTTTTTTTTTTATTTTTAAATAATTACACCTATTTGTGAAAAGTTGATGTAACTGCTTATTTAAAAGTTGAATATTTTACAAGTTGGAAAATTTCTGAAATTAGCGAAAGAAAATTATTAGGATAACTATTATAATAACTATCATAATAAATAATATTATTATATAAATATTAGACAACATCAGATCCAAAATAAGTAGCTAAAGTCAGGATAATATAGATTATCTGAAACAGCGAAGGTAACACATAAAATTCTGAAATCTTGTAAGGACAACCGAAATATGATACATATGAGATTGTTGCATATTTACATTATTGTCGACAGTACAAATGTTGAGCACAATAAATAAATAAAATGCTCACGGAATACGAAATAACAGCTTATCGGCACAAAGGCAAGTGTCAAAATGGATTCAATGTTCTTGATGCACTTTTTTTTTCTCATTTACATTCATAATTGTTCACTTTTTGGTGATTACGATTTTAGGTTGTCAGTTGAGTTAGCGAATAGACATGCAGATAGATTAATAAACCATTAAAATTATATAAACCCACAATACATCGACATCATTATAAAAAAAATATACAATAGGACGCCTACATATTCAATGATAAAAATACAATCAACACGAAGCTAATGCCGATAATATTATTTTGACACAACAATAACAGTTTGACAGAAAGAAAACAAACCTAACTTTCACTTTAATGGGTTTTTATCCATTAAACCCATTGAAAGGCAGACAGGGGTAGCTTAAACGGCACGTGTTAATTTTTTTACTTCCTATTTTTTTCTTTTTACTGATGACAATGATAATCTGAGAATGATATTCCCAACGCATACCAAAGATTCTACATTACTTACAGGTTGCAATCTTATTTTATTTTATCTTTAATATATGAAACATTAAATTCTCGGATTGATGAACCTCAATATACACCACCGTAGATTGATATTATAATTTTTTATTTATTTTGTATTAATCTATAGTACCTTCCTATAGATATGTTATAGTAATTTGAGCGGAAAATAACATTTACCGAGTGGATTCAAATTCAAAACTCAACTTGAACCCTCAGTGTAAACGCACATATTCAAATCAATCTTTATGGAAATTTATATTTATATAGGTAAAAATATATGAACTGATTACCTACTCAATCGTGACAACACGCACCGATATGATTTAGTATAATGAAAAATTATCAATTAACCGCCCGTACCATAATAGATCGCATCTGTGCCGTAGGTACCCCTACCAGTGCCCACAAGTAGAACGTGTTGATTTGACGGTAACTTAAGAGGGGGTAAACACCATGGACTAGCGTAACTTAAGCGTACTATGCAGTTTCTTTCTACCTAGACAACCCGCGTCAATCAGTGGAGATCTTTCGTCGTAGAACCTACATTGATATTACATTATATATATTTTAATAGTTTCAGTGTTCATTTATCAATAATAGCAGACGAGGGATCATCAAATTAACAGCTCAATATAGAGATATTGTATTATTATTACGCAAAATGCTACAAAGGAATAAATCATACAACTAATCTGGGTAAGTTTGAAACATAAATTTTCTTAAATTAATTTTGTTTTCCAAAAATGTAACTTCGTTTGTCTTTCCTCGCAATACTAAATCTCTTAAACCTATTTCCGTTGTTGTATTATTAGTGTAGTAGTTAAAGCGATTACGACATATTAAATTATATCCATTCTGGAATCCCAATAATATTGAATTAAGCATAAAATTAATTAAAAACCATTTACGTATATAATATTTTTTTAACGAGAAAATTTAATAAAAGTCCTTTTTTATTTTCACTAAAGACCATGATTTTTATTGAAGTTTATTATAATTGTCCACAATCGATTTATACTGATTTAGTTCTTAAGATGTTTGGCTTCTAATTAATGGTACTTACGTTGTACAGAATGGACAAAAGCCGAATAGGCTTCGTTGGTTTCTTCTAACCATAATGGCCCATCCCATTCAAATTAGCACGATGAAGGTAATAATCTCTGAATGAGATATAATAAGCAGAAAACTCGTGTTCACCGATTAACGTGTCTTTTAGCGTTCTAAATGTTCTAACAAAATAAAGATGTTTGCGTCATTGAAGCTTAAAACAAAAGTTGCCAAGGAGTCGACCCTCGCTTTATACATAATTCGCCTCACAACTAAAAGTCTCTGCGTCACAATAAATTTTAGATTTGTCTATCAATATTTTATTCGAAAATAAGAATCAATATCATTAACTCTTATGACTTGTGACTTTTTGAAATTAAATCATTTTTATACCGCTCTATTTTATAAATTTGTTTGTGTTTACTTCACACAATTCTTCAGGAAACAAATGTTTATATTACCTCATTTTCTAAATCTATTAGCTTAATTTAAAATCAAAATGGTTCCTCCTCCTTGCGCCCGTCGTTCCGTCATGTCAGGTAGATAGTACAATGCCGGTCCGTACTATACTCAACACCACAGTCAGTGAGGCCAACTATATTGCCGAAGATAGGGCAAGAAGGTGCCTTCACCTTCTACGTACGGACCGGCATTGTACTATCTACCTGACATCCAATATTTTATATATGTCACCATTCATGTGGGAAGAAGACATTGGACTAATACGCTTTTCAGGGTTCGTACTCAAAGGGTAAAACGGGAACGCTATTACTAAAATTTCGCTGTCTGTCATCAGGCTGTATCGCATGAACCGTGAAAGCTAGACAGTTGAAATTTTTACACATGTATTTCTGTTGCAGCTTCAACAACAAATACAAAAAACCAGAATAAAATAAATATTAACGAGGGCAACAAACGTGATTTGTTTGCTCTTTTCCGGTACGGAACCCTACGAGCGCGACTCTGACTCGCTCTTGACCGGTTTTATCTCCTTATTTTATTTCATACAGAAATGTCAAGATTAGACTAGACAAGATTTCCGATTTCCGAAACGAGTAAGTGAACACTGTTCTATAAAAATTGATTAGAACAATTCACAGTTTTGTATAACCTGAGGCGTTGGTATTACTCATTGTTGGAAATCATTACTGTAACTCATTTAAAAAAACAGTAATCCATAGCTAGTTGATATATATATATATATATTGCATTTTGAAGATATCACTCATTGAATTTTACTTTCATGGTCACAAATGCTTACAAATAACAGTTTAACGATACAAATGAAGTGTCAAAATTGAGTTCTTCTTTTATCATTGACTTATCTGCGCGTTTCGTACAATTCTGCCAATGTCAAGTGATTAAATTATTTAAATTAATTACTGCTTGTAAATTTTTTTAAATTATCTTTCGGTGATTAAGACTAGATTGTCAGTTGAGTTAACGAATACGCCTGCTGTGATAGGATTTGACATTTTTGCGGTGGCAACCCTGGTTTCCCCTTCCATCCTCCAGAGCTAGATCGCTTTAGTTTTTGTTTCAAATCGAACGAAATTATGTACTAAATTAAATTAATATTTTTACAATGGTTGTTTAGAACGTTAAATAATTACCTAATATTAAACATCGGGTGGTGATTCTATTTATTCGGCATGATTTTATTTAGGTTTGTTGATTATAAAGTAGTTGATTTTATTGACTTATCTTAGTAGTAATGTAATTCCGTGTCTTCCTCTCTTAGAACGTTCCTTCTTTTTTTCAGACATGTCCGAAATAAAGCATAAACATCAAATATTGGCAGCAATAGATCATTTACGTGCTCGTAAGTCGAGACCGGATATTAACAGAATTTGTAAGTTTATGATAAAGTGCTACAAAGTTTCTCCAAAGGACACAAAAGCAGATCTCAAACGTTGCCTTAAAGAAAAAAGTATATTTAAAGTTGATTACAAAGATAATGTAAGCTACAGGAACGCTGCAAAGTGGCGAAAAAAAAGTAATCTCAATAGCAGCAGTAAGTTTACAAATATCTATTCTACATTCGCTTTTTTTGTTACAGCAGTGGGCTAATAATAAGTAAATAATAAAGTTGCACGAGCTTATCAAAAATAATTTTAACATAATTGGCTTTAACATAAGTTACAATTTTGTTACATATTTATGGACAGAAAATTGTGGTGCTTGACCCTTTCTGCCTATTCCATAAGGGATTCAATGAGTAAACATTGATAAATAGTTGAAAACTAATTATTAGTTTCGCTATTTTATTTTAACTCTAATACGTATCACTTTCTGTTATTATTTACTATAACTTTCTTTTGTTTTGTTTCTTAATTTTATTTTGTGTCCATAAACATGAAACAAATGTTTATCATTAAAACACAGAAATGGCGTCAACTATTGCAACTAGTGAAAGGAGGATAATAACTTCAGCAATTGCAACATTAATTTATCAAGATCAGAGTTACTTAGAAAATGGTATAGCATTTGAAGATCTTATTAAAACTGCTGTATCCCAAGATTCTAAATTCACAAAGAAACAACTGGAAGCCATGGTTAATAAAGAACTTGCATCTGGAAGTCTTGTGAAACTCCCAAATGGAAATTTGGCACTTGGTCCTGCAGATCATGATGGGGATAGTTCAGATAGTTTTAAATTTGAATACAATGTAGATTACAATACAAAGGTAAGTTTCAATGATTACTGCTATTTTTATCAATACAATACCTATAGATTAAAAAAGTAGACACCACACTCTGAATGTTCCATTATTCAAATATTGTTTGCTTTTGTTTCTTTGTAATGTATTTTCAATATACACATTTGCTCTTCGATTTTAGAGAACTATAAGTTTACAAACTTTTTGCTAAGATGTCAAAAAATTAGTTTGAAAGGAAAAATGTGCTCCAATGTCATCTGTCATTATTACGGGGTACAAAAAGATTTATTTTGTTTAAATTTCACAGATGACGTCATCTGCGAATTCATCATGTAGATCATCACCTCAGCGAATGAGGGGTAGACCTAAAAAAAGAGGTGGAATATCATCTGGACCTATTAATAATAATACACGAAATGCTGCAGTCAGAGTTGGTGAAAGACGTAAAATGGCAAAGAAAGTATTTGATCCATCCGATAATAATGTACCAAGTAAAAGGAAAAGAGGAAGACCTGTTGGTTCACTTAACAAAAACACTATCAAAAAAAGGTTACTTGGTGGAAATCAAAAACCTGACAAAGAAGGAACACCCATATCAGAAGGCCAGCTGACACCTGATGTTAGTGGTGATGATATTGAACAAGAAGAACCAATACCACTTGAGACCTCAGGAGGTGTATGTTCAGTATGTCTTGTGCAAAAGCCACGAGGCTCCAATGACAGACTGGTAGAATGTAGAGATTGCAACAATAAAGCTCATTTGAGTTGTCTTCAGTCTGGATCGGGAATCCTTAAGCCTCGTCCTGATAACACCTGGCAGTGCCCACACTGTAAAACTTGTGTGATATGTTGTGAAACAAATGATGCAGTAAGTAGATTTAGTCATATAAATACAAAACTAGATATATTTATTACAAAACATTGCTTGTGGTACATATTACAACACCTTAGTATACTTTACCACATGTATCTCTAGCATGGAGAAGTTATTACATGATATTAAAACGAATATCTTTATTTTTTCAGGGTATTTTAACAGTGTGCAGTATCTGCTCTGATGCATATCATTCACTTTGCCACAGTCCTCGCATACCAGAACGTTTGAAAGCTTGGGATCAATGGGAATGCAACAACTGTTTGGAGTCACGCCCTACAGTTGTTGGATCCCCTGCTATAATTCCCAGCACCATAGAGTTTGAAAAACAGTACTCTCCACCTGAAGACCCATTTTTAAAACCACACGAACTTGATATGGCTCCTTCAAAGCTAAAACAAGAAGTACCTATTGACCCTACTATACCAGATATTACACACTGGACAACTGATGACGTCCATGAGTACTTTATGGAACATTTTCCTGAAGCTGCACCAATATTAAAGGAACAGGTGTGTAATGTTTATTATGTATTTAAAATCATGTTTTCTTATCTAATAATTAAATATTTGAAACATACTTTGAAGACAGAAACATAATAATACGTAGGTTTAACTGAATGAAAAAGAATACTATGTGCTATATACAAAATTTTCTCATAGCATTTTTTGGATCAGTTAAGCATACATCTTTTTTGTTTTATTTTAGGAATTTGATGGACAAGCATTGAGCATGGCTAGGAGAGCAGACATAGTGCAAGGTTTAGGGTTACCCTTAGGTCCAGCATTATCTTTATATCGCATTGTGGTAAAACTTCAGACAAGAAAAGATGATTGGACAATGTGTTGGGGCTAACCCATATAAAGGATTTTTAAATATATTAATTACATAATTTAGCATGATTTTTATTGCCCAATTAATACATTTTAATTACAACCAATGCTAATAAGACATTTTGTTTCAAAGATAACTAAAATACATTTTAAACACCTACTATCTTGTAATGGTTCTAGAAAACACAATTAACGCTCACCAGGCAGATAACTTGCACTTGCTTACAGGTGTTAAATTTCACATTTTTTCACACATACAATTAGATATATTTTTAGGGTAAGTAAATTCTTCAGAAAATTGATCATCAGCCTATTTGCCCCACTGCCTTCCCGGTGCAGGGCTTCCCGATGGATGAGATTAAATGGGAGAATGAGTCCTAACTGGTGTTAATGACTGCAGATACAGCCAGGACTGATGTCTTAATTGACCTTCTGAAGGGTGTATGAGCTCTTTTTGGTTACCCATCCTATGACAGGCAGTTGCGAAAGATGCTTAAATTCAATATCACAAACTGCAAATGTTAACTATTACATCAATCAAGCTGCTCTTCTCTTTATTCAGAAAATCACATACATATATTCTAAAATTATTTATTCTAGATATGTAACAAGTCCATTTACAATATCCCTACCATATATATACAATACAAAATAAATTAATATTTACTGTACATTCCATAATATCATATTAATTATTACAGTTACTATAATGATTATTTTACTGAGAAAACATCTTAAATAATTAATTTACTAAATATCCAAACAATTTAAAAAGAAACAAATAAGTTGTGTATCAAGTTGGTAGTACCAACTCATGTAGCAAATAAATTATTATTATTATATACATATGTACATTATAATAATCATTAATTAGTTTGTTTTCTTAATTACTGAATATGGTTTCACTTCAGAGTTCATTCACTGTGAATATTTTTTTTATTTTCTTGTTTAAAAATATAATTGACAAATATTAATATATGTTATAGTTACAAATATTAATAGTCGAACTTTTATTATAATAATTACAACATGTAATATGCAATCAAATTATTATAAGTAACTTGTTTGCATTTAAATAAATAACATACTCCATTATAAGGAAAATCATTACACATACCTACTTACATGATAAAATAATATATATAAATAATAATGTGTCAATGTTGGTCAAAATGTTTCATGTATGATAAAAATATATTGAAAATCATTGTGGCAAAGTTTATGTAGAAAACTCTGTATTCAGTTGGCAAGTAATAGAAATTGACAAATTGAACTGGCGGCCAATATAAACAGTCACCCTGAAAATAAATGAGTAATAAATTGGTAACACTATCAAAGATAAAAAATAATCATAATTGCAGAATAAAAAACAAGTCACTTACTGCATAGACATATTTGAACTTATCTATTATTTCATATGTACTTTGTTTAAAGGATTTTGATTCTAAAATTCCCATTCCATAGAAAAAGCATAGTATAGTAGCTGGTGATGCCAACAACTGATCACATAAAATCTTTTTGAGAACTGTTTTAACATTGACTTTTGGAAGAACCTTATCTAAATAAATATAATAATAATGATGCATAGGTCCCATTAGCGATCCAACAATAAACATTCTAGCTGTAATAAAATGTTGGACAATATTAGTTACAAAAATATAAACAAACATTACCTATAACTGTGCAAAAGATCAATGGCCTATGAATAAAATGTTGCCCTTTGATCTGGCTTAGACTGTAGATATTCTGTCAGTGTTCTAGTATTAGCCAAGGAGAAAATTTTTGAGCCATCTTATGAACCGAAACAGATAGTTTTTAAATCAAAGGTATAGTACATAAGATCATAATTTCGCTTACCCAAGCGACCCCAGTCATATCTTTTTAATTGCACTCGAGATTGATATTCAAATTCTTGTTGGATTAGGTCACCAATAGCCATAAACCCTCCAGAAGTCATACTATTGGTTATTAATAAATTCTTCTTAAATAGGAAGTTAACTCCACGGCGAAAGGATGAACACTTTCGGCAATTATTTTGAAGGAGGTTAGCTCCTCTTTTTAAAAGCGAAAAATGTACTGAAAACATATTTAATTTAAAAAAACTTTACATGGAATATCTTGTTTATAAGGGCAGAAACTTCTGTTCGTACGAACTACTGTTCTGGCACGAAATATGTTTACTTTTTTACATTAAATGATTTTTAAGCAGGCGCAAAATTTAAAAATAATCTCCCCTAGCGCCCTAAACTGGAGAAGTAGGGATGAGAATAATGAAGTGATGCCTAGTGATGTACTCGAATTCGAGGGGCTATTCTAGGCTAAGATACAACGAACGTGTGTATAAGTTTTGGAGAAAATTTTTGGAGATTGTATTCACAGACTAAGTAAATATATTTTTATTGTAAGATGCTCATTATAACACAAATTATATACTATTTTTAGATAGCAAAAATAAGTCCCAGTTCATTTATTTAAATAAACATAATGAGACCTGAATGTGTGAAAGTAAAAAAAAATCAATATAAATTCAGAATAAATCAAAATAAATTTGAAAATCAATATATTTCATGACAGTTTTATTTATAATAATAACAAATACGAAATAAACATTAAGGCTGATGATAAGACGAGATAGTTAAAAAAGTAATAATTAATTTTAGAATGAAGAAGTTAACTATTTTTTTCCGCATTGAGTGCGGATGATTACTATGCTTATTTTCAGTATTTAGTCATTTACATTGGCGATAGGACCCGCATGCGGTGTGCGAGTCTTTATGTGTTTATTTTCATTAGACAATCCTTGATTTCCTGACTATTGCAAACTCATTATCATTAGTCGATAGGATAGGGATATAAATTAGTTTTTAACTTGGAGAACAGTATATATCATCAAAATCGACTTTGTAATTTTGAAATATTATATTAAAGTTCAAGAAATGAGAAAAACATGTAAGTTGCTCTTTTTTCAAATTGCTGGCGTTTTCCCTATTTCTTGGATTTTTTAAAAAGCTTAGTAAATGATTCTTTCTTTCTGTATTTCTTTTTGGCAGTTCTTATCAGTAGAAGCGGCAAAGTATTCTGTTATCAGCAAATTACTATAAAGTACTCGATTCCTACAGGCATCGATATTTTATGTATCTTTCTAACACTACTTTGACATGACAGCTGATGACGTCACAGGCCAGTAAACTGAATCGTGATTGGTTGTGACGACGACCAATTATAAGACGTTTCCGTCGTTGACTAAATTCCTAAAAATATTGCATTTTCTTTACGTTATTTTACTAAATCTAAACATGTTTTTTCTGCAGATGTTAAGAAATAAGCTTTATTAGATTATTATCTATCAGGATGACCACAAAATGAAACTTATTTTCGATAGTGTCAAATACCCTATTCTAAAATGACGAAGTAATCATAAGCTCATTTTCTTTGTTCACCCGATAGAACACAGAACCTTGAACCTTAAAGCTGGTGAAACCGACTTCAAAAACCTTCTAAAATGGAAAAATAATAATTATCTTAAAAGCAGCCTATATCAAGAAAATTCTATTAACATCGAGAAATTAATATTAATAACCTACACCAAAATCTCAACCCGAAGTTTTTTGAATATGTGAAGTGCTTTAAGGCTTTTTTTCATTTTTTTATTATTTAATTTCATCATTTAAGTGATGTATGTATGAATGAGGAAGTATTTAAAAAAACGAAAGCACTGAAAGAGTACCTCTGCTAGATGGTGACTCTAGCAAAAATTGATTTTTGCAGGAAACGATTGGACCAAAGACAGTCATTTCCGTTCCTTTTAACTAACATGTTAAAAAACTGAAATTTGAACAGTTCGAAACTTAGATATAAATGCAAATACAAAAAAATACAAATAGAAAATGAGTTGTCTATTGCGTTTTGAAAATGAATTTACTTTTAAACATGAAAGAAAACCGGAAGGGTTGTCATGGAGAAATCAAGAACATACCGTAACGTCATCTACTTTGGTTTCAAACAATTTTTTTTTAAATGCTTCCTCATTGAATTTCAACTCGATATTAATCAGAGTTATGATCCATAACAACACTGACAAATCTATTCTCTTTGGTTTAACGTCATAAATTGACATTTAGATCCTACAATTTGTGCTGCCATCTAGTGACATAAAATTTGAAACTCATGTGTCAAACTCGTCAACGGGTGCCGGTGGCGTGAGTCTGCACTGGAGTACTTCAATTTGTCCATTTTCTTTTATTATGAATATTGTATATTTATTTGTCAATGAATATGTAGGATTTCTGATATTATAATGGAATCTGTGTGACACTCAATCATTTACCATATTATGAGAGCGCGCTAAATCTTTGGAGCAAACTATGTTAAGTGATTACATGAACAATATAGAAAGCAATATTTCTAAACCCCCAAAGCTTTTAGTCATATGTCAAATTAATAAAAAAACAACAGTAGCTCTTATTCAGCAGTTATGCATTTTAATCAACGCGTTATGGGTGGGGGGGATGAGACCTGTAACATGTTTAGTGAGTATTTACATTCAACATTTCTTAGTACACACCGATTATTCAGGCATCACCCAGGAATTATGTTTATTCGCAAAAATTTTAGGAAAAAATATTTACAATCAGTTATACACCTCTTTTAGGCAGGGTTTTCTTTCTCAGCAACACGGCTTTTTAAAAGGCACGTCCACGACCTCTAATCTCATTTTATGCAGTGAATACCTGTCTGAAAAAATGGCAGAACGGTCACAAGTAGATATTGTCTACACTGATTACAGTAAATGTTTCGATAGGATTTATCACTTACTATTACTTCATAATCTCCAATCAATAGGTAATTTATTTCAGATGTCAGACGGTTGCACTTGGTGGTAATTTATCTTCGTCAATGCCTATTCCATCTGGTGTGCCTCAGGGATCCTTATTGGCACTTCTGATTTTTAATATATTTATTAACGACATTTGTTCATGCTTAAATACTCAAAGATTATAATGTATGCCGATGACATGAAGATTCTGTGTCTTATAAAGTCTTAATCAAGTACTCAACTTCTGCAGGACGATCTTTGCAGATTTGAAGACTATTGTATGGCTTATAAATTGGAGCTTAATGTCTCTAAGTGTTATGTGTGTTCGTTCACTCGCAAACCCAATCCAATCACATTTGGCGACCGATACGTAGCGACAACTAATTCATCGCACTAACATCGCCACAACAATCGATAGCGAGAAGACTAGCATCGTCACAGCAATCGATAGCAAGACGAACTGCAAAAAGTTTCAACACCCAGTAACGAGATGGCGTTGTTCCAATACAAACATTATAAATTCAAGGCATTTAGAACTAAATCTACATCACCCAGAATAAGTTTCATTACCAATAAACATAAATAGAACGTCCACTCTACATCGATGGGATTGAGGTCCCCGGTTTAACAACACCTAGTTCGGAGGGAGACAATTATCCTTTAGTCTCCCTTGCCAGTTGTCTCCATCATCAAGTAGGAACCAACACCATTGTAGGAACCGAAAAACTATGGCGACTGATACGTAGCGACATCTAATTCATCGCACTAACATTGCCACGACAATCGATAGCGAGATGACTAGCATCGTCGCAGCAATCGATAGCAAGACGAAAAAGAAGTTGCAAGAATTTTCAACACCCAGTAACGAGATGGTGTTGTACCAATACAAACATTTAAGGCATTTAGAACAAAGAAAACCTTTAATACAAAATTGCTTTTTGACATTCATATAAATGACATCATAACTAAAGCGTCAAAGGCACTCGGCTTTATATTGCGTATCTCATCCGACTTTCAGTCAGCGAAGATGTTTAAAATCCTTTACTGTGCTTTTGAGCGAAGTCATTTAGAGTATGCCTCGCAAATTTGGAATCCATCCTATAACGTCTATATTACGCACATTGAAAAAATAGTCTAATTCAGTCACATTCCAATAAGTGAATTAAACGGAGAAAAAAGCAGCCTTTGCTGAGTTTCTTACCGGTTTTTCTTAGTACCCAGATCTCTCGCCTTAGTTTTGCGAACCGTTGGGTAAGTTTTCGACTTTCTCAAGTGCTATGTAACAGCCTAGACTGAATCGATTTTGATATTTATATTAATAAATTCGAAATGTATACGTGTGTGTATGACGACGTGTATGACATAATGGCACATATGGAAATATGGTGTGCCATATTCATTGATAAAAAAAAACAATCTGAAGCAGCGCTCCGCTTTTTGATCTTGATTCCAAACCTGAATTCGGATGAATCGAGTGAATTGAAGTTACGAGCAACCAATAAGTTGGCACATCACTAATGTTGACATATAAACTAAATACCGTTGACATATAAACTAAACTTACGATTCGTATAAAATAAAATAAATTTAAAAGTGAGATATTATAAGAAATACGAAACCAAGTCATATTAATTAAATTTTAAAACTTAATTTACTTTAATTTCGTCAGAAACTAAATTTATATATATCTGAAAAAAAGGAAATTATAGGAAAAACCGACTTGATAGATTGGACTCTCTTTGTTCACACACGTCTTTTTTAAAACAATAATTATCTAAAAAGTAAGTCATCCGTCTGTCACTCATTATGCCGGCCAGCTATAAAAAGTGGCCTGCATCAAAAGAGTCTGTAACATTCCCACCTCCAGTATTGCAAAGCAATACTCAGTCAGATCGATCATTGTCAGATCCCGTTTGTCCATGTTCAAGTCACCAGTCGGCTTAAATCATGTCAGATTTAGTCACGACCGTGAAAGTCTAAGGTAGGAAAGGTCAAATCAGGTCAGGTCTAATTCAAGTAGAGTATATCCAAATTAACGAACGCTTAGTCGACAAAGTTTGGTTACAAGTCTTTTGTAAGTTCCAGACACAGTCTTAACATCAACTATTCTAACTTGTCCGTCAGTGCCCGGGTATGTCCTAGTAACAATACCTTTGGGCCAGTAGTTTCTCGGTTGCTGGTCGTCGCACATGATCACTACATCACCAATCTTCAGAGGCTCTACTTGACCGAACCATTTCCCCCGCTTAGTAAGAGTCGGCAAGTACTCTTTTAGCCACCGCTTCCATACTAAGTCAGCAAGCCTCTGTGATTGGAGCCATGATTTTCGGAGTAAGTCTGAATCAGTAAACCCATCAACAGTTTGTGTGGTGAAGCCAGTTTGTCCTCCAAAAATGAAATAGTTCGGTGTCAATGGTACG